AAGCTTCAAAGGACTTTTTGAGTTAAGTAAAGGGGCGCCAAACGCCCCCCCCCAGGCTATACATAGATTCAGCCTCCAGCTATTATATGGTTAAAAATTAAGTCTCGTAGTTTTGGGCATTTAAAGAAAATTCCACGAATAGAAGAAAAAAACTTGTTCTGGAAGTGAAATCATTATGAATAGTTCTCGTATTTCGAATCTAAAACAGGGTTAGCCACAGAGGATGAGACCTTAATAACGATAATTTTAACGCTCTGCCTTGAGTATCATCTTTAAATAATAATCTAAATGATTTGACTATTAAAAAGAGCCAAGTTTACAGTTGCAGCACGAGACCCAAAAATAAAAAAATATTAGAAAAAAAATATTAGAAAAAAAAATGAAAACTAAAGGTTTATCGTCTCTAAAGTTTCATCTGTTGCTGGTAACCCTGTATATTTTATTGTTTCACTAAGCGAATGGTAACCCTGTATATTTTATTGTTTCACTAAGCGATTAAATGATACATAATATTCTGATTAGCTTATTTACCATGTTGTTCGTATGGATTCTTTTTGATCATTTTTTTATTTCATTTTCCAATCCTAAATCATAGAATACTATATAGATAGCACAGCTACAGTGTGTCCCAATAAACATGGAAATTTAATGACGAAGTTTATATCGTCTTCCATGCAGGATTATTTTGTAAACATTATGTTGTAGTATCCTAGATAAAACATTTAACACCGAAATTACTACTAGTATCGGGATTTCCCAAATGTGGTCCTAAAAAATATGGCCTTATTTTTCATGATTTTATCCAAAAGCATAACATTGTTTGTACGTTTATTCAAAAAAGAATATTTTACAATTTAGTTACAGAACAAGAAATGCTACCCTGAGAAAAGTACCATATGTTATCGATATAATATATGTGGCAAAAAGAAATCAGGAAAACGAAGAAGTTTTCTTGATTCCGTTTTCTCGAAACAAATATGGCGATTCAGAGAGGAAAAATATGCATTTGAAATGTTTCAATATTTGATATAATATCAAACGTTTGATGTAAAAATCTTCAAATATTTAAATTGAAAATGTTTCTGTAAACCAAAATAGGGTGGACTTGAACGGAAAGGGATTTCAAACCTTAGAAATTATAATTTAAACCTCGAAATTTAAATCCCCAATTAAAAAATTTTTACTTTGAACATTTTATAAAAATGGTTCATAAATTTCATTATCCCAATCATTTTGGAAAATAGTAACTTTTCAAATTGGATATGTATACATATATATATTTTCCCAAAGGCCTTTTCCCAAGGATGACTTCCCATTTGTATATTTAAGGTTCGGCGATAGGGGGCCGAGCGCTGCGACTTGGATGGACTATGCGGCCAAGCGCTGCGGCTAGAACGGACTTAGGAAGTTATCGCTTGGGAAAATGCTTGGGAAGTTGTCGCTTGGGAAAATACCCTTGGCAAAGTACCTAACATCATATAATACATAATAATATTAAACCTATTTCTTGTTATTTGTTGTTAACTATAGTATAGAAAAATAAACTATAATTCTATGTAATATTGATCATATTGAATAAAGATTTTATATATATTTTTTTTTAACTAGAGTAAAAGAACTTATACTAATCCCGTCCACAAGAAGTTTCGAGAAGTAGGAGGGGAGGGGGGGGGG